CGACTTTAGTACAACTAGAAAGATTGTTTTAAAGGTTACCAGATTCTACCAAGAACCAATGAAAATTGCAGCAAAAAATACGTTTTTCATATCCAAGAATTTGCAAAAAAAAAAAAAAATACATGTTCTCGGCCTACTTTTCTATACATTATAAATTAAATTTTCTCTCATCGCACACTTTGGTTTGTGATAATTTTGTATCGATGAAAAGCTCTTATTAAGACCTTTTCTTTTACCTACGACGTACTAACTATATAATTTCTACCAAAACGATAATAACACAAAAACACTCAATATCCTAAGAAAGATTATCCATCATATATTCATTTACAACTACTAATTAATAAAATGTAGTTGAACACTAAACTTGACACGGAAATTCTTTCAACACAACTTCTTTTCTAAATTCTTTCTTGTCCACCGGGATATTTTCTTAAAATTCTTTTTAGCTAGAGTTAGTTTATATTATATTGATACTAGCATCATAATTACCTAAACAATCTTTGTTATGGGTTACTTTGTAATTTTTTTAGTTTAATTCTTAGTTACAATATCTAATCTTTATACTTTCATGTATAGAATAAAAAATATTTTGTACTATTTTGATATTTTTGGAATGAGAACTCCATTCCTATGAATTGATATAGGAATTGTACTTTGATCCTCAAGAAAGTAAAGATAAAATAAGAGGAGAGATTCAAGCTGACAACAATATATTTTAATTTTTATCATGAAATTTGAAGTACAAATCAGAGAAAAATTAAAAAAAAAAAAAAAAAAACTAAACAAAAATTAAATTTAGATTAGTTTTTGTAATCGTAATTTTTTTTCTTTTTTAATTAACGTAATGACCTAATTTTTTTTTCATTTTATTATTTTAATAGTTTAATGTTTATTTTCTAAAAAAAATAACAGAAAGAATAGAAAACAGCCAATAGATTATTCAAGTAAATTGGAAAGGTTAATATACACATACAATATTCATATTGATGTAGTTCTCCCTAATAAGAAAGAAAAAAGACACATATGAAACTATTAAAAAAAAAAAAAAAAAAAAAAAAAAAAAGAGAGAAAGAGGAGCAAATTAGAAACATAAAAGAAAAGGGTTAACCAAATTTTAAGTGTTGGGAAGAAATGGTTAAGAAACAACCTTTTTGATGGCCTATTTGGAGCAACACATGATTTGTATTGACCACTTCAATTAAAACTGTGTGAACAAGAAATAACCTCTCACCAATATTTAAACTATTCCATGCATGTAACATCTTTAACATTTACTCAGTAAATCAACCTTTTTAGTACCTCATTACCCAAATCTCCCTTTCCCATGACCTAATTCTTTCACCATGAAAATCAAAAACTTCCTTAACCCTCAATCCTCTCCTGATGACCAAAACACTAATGGTTTCATCAACACTACTATTTTCCCTCTACATTGTCTTTCACTTCAAATGGATTTCAATCCCGCACGCGCTGTACCTCCTCTAAACCCTATCAACATTTACTTATACCATGATTTTTATATTACCATCTTGTTTATATCTCTCTTCCTTTGCAGATATTGGCAGAGATGGTTGGCACATTTATTCTGGTGTTATGTGTATGTGGAATCATAGCAAGTCAGCAGCTAATGAGAGGTGAAGTGGGTCTAATGGAGTATGCAGCTACAGCAGGATTAACAGTCGTTGTTGTGATTTTTTGTATAGGACCAATCTCTGGGGCACATGTCAATCCTGCTGTTACAATAGCTTTTGCTATTTTTGGTCATTTTTCTTGGTCAAGGGTATTTATTTTCAGTAATGAAGAGCTTGTGAGTATTAAAATTGTTGAAGTTGATTTCTAAATAACTGAGTTATTTATCAGGTTCCATTCTATATATTGGCACAAATGTTAGGATCAACTTTGGCAACATGGGCGGGAAGATCTGTGTATGGCGTACGAGCTGACCTTATGGCTACACGACCAGTTCAAGGCTGTTTTGCTGCTTTCTGGGTTGAGTTCTTTGGGACTTTCATCATCATGTTCTTGTCAGCAGCATTGATATGTGAAGCTCACACTGTATGTTTCTAATTATTTCTCTCTTCCAATAAATTACTTGTCTCTTCCAATCAATCACGGTTAGTTAGCTACATCTGAACCCCAATATTTCTAATAGTAAATATCAATTAACATAATTTTACAGATAGGTCATTTGTCAGGATTCGTGGTTGGAATAGCCATTGGACTTGCTGTCCTTATTACAGGGTAATGATAATGATACAATTTAACTCCATATTGAATATAAGTTCCCTTTGGTTTTTGTTTAATAAACTTAGTTTGCTTTCATTTCAATGTCAGGCCAGTTTCAGGAGGATCAATGAATCCGGCAAGGTCACTAGGACCTGCGATCGTGTCATGGGATTTCGATAACATATGGATATACATGATTGCCCCGGTGGTCGGAGCTATAGCAGGTGTTCTATTGTACCAGTTTCTACGCCTTAAACACAGACCTTGTACTGCCACTTCTTCTCCTAGTACAGTTTCCTACTTGGTCACTCCTTAGCATTTTGTGAGGGTGCAGAAGAAGAATCATTTGTGATAATGTTCCGATGACGAAACTGATGGCTATGAACAATTAAAACAATCTGCCCCCATTAAAAAATAAGCTGGATTTTTAGCGATCCTTACAGGGTTTTATATTTGTTAATAAGTTGTTAGAGCCTTAATAACCTAAAATTGATTTAACACATATACTTATAATTATAGGGGATATGTCTTTCATATATAAAAATAGAGCCTCCATTTTCCTTTTTCTTTTTTCTTTGGTAAAAAAAATATGATATGCTCCATAAAGACACAAGTTCAATCAATTAGTTCTTCATTCTTGAAATTTATTAGAGAATTTTGGGATTTTGGATTACATTATTAAAAACCTTAAAAAAAGAAAAATTTACAATATTCATTATAATAAATACATTTCAAATATTAAAGAGATATTGACAATTATTTTGAAAGTAATTTAAAATTAAAATTAATTAGAGCAAAATAATATTTTCTTATCTCATAAACTGATGTACAAATTCATAAAATAAGAAAAATACTTAAAAATTAATAAGCAATCGGTCTCGTGAAAAATACTTTCAATTATTTTAACAAGATAATTAATCTTGTAAGATGAAGTTGTTCTGTAAATTTATATTTCTTTATTTCAACTCCTACAACGACTAAATTAAGGAATAGATAAATGTAATAATACGTATCTTATGAGAAATATCTCACAGGATGGTAAGTTCGTTAGGGCAAATACACTTCAAGCATTAACTAAAGAATGACAAAAATAATTTTGTATTTGAGGTCAATATGTATTTGTTGTGTAGAAATAAGTAATGTTTGGAGAGAAAATCTTCAATTTTCTTTAACAAGGTAGTCTTGTACAATGAAATTGGTTTGCAAGCTTATGTATCAATAAAAAAACAAAGATTCCACTTAGCAATGTGACTATTCTAGCTCCTAGTCTATCTATCAAGCATAAATATGTAATATTTATCAAGAAAGGAAGAGTAAAATACTTTATATCCCTCAAAGAGAAGAAACCCTAGCAAAGCTATTGAAGAGAAACCCTTTTAGGATTTCAAATGTGAAAGTCGAACAAGTGTCGGGCAGAACAACAAGCAACTAATATATATATGGGTAAAGGAATGCACGAACACCCAACAACAGAAGAGCATAACACAACCATATAATGAAACGTGGCATATTGGGCACAAGAGAAAACAGGCTTGGGTTAACAGCCCACTGAAACAACTAGATCCAACAACACCTCAAAGCTGGCGAATAGATGTTTTCTGCTCCCATCTTGACCATGTGTTCTTTTAGCACCCAGCTTGATTAAGTTTTTGTGAAAATGTCTGTAAGTTGACTTCTACTAGTAACATGTTTGGTTATTATACTTCTTTCTTTTACCTTCTCTCTTATGAGGTGACAGTCAAGTTTGATGTGCTCTGTTTGTTCGTGGAATACAGGATTTGTTGCTATGTGGATTGCCGTTTTGTTATCACAATATAATTTTGTTCACTCTTCATACTTGACTTTTAGATTATTCAATAAATATTTAATCCATGTAATTTCACAATAAGCAGCAGCCATGACTCTATACTCCACTTCAGCGGATGATCTTGATACAGTATGTTGTTTTTTAGATTTTTAGGTAATTAAAGAACTCCCAAGCAGAACACGATCGGATATGCCAGCCCAGTCACTATCAGAATATGCCTTTAACTTTAGATCAAACATGCTAGGATAAAATGATCCTTGCCCTAGAGTGGCTTTCAGGTACTTCAGAACTTTGTAGGCATCCCTTAAATGTCCATCTCTAGGATCTTCCATCAACTGATTTAGGACTTGAATTGACAAAGCTAAAATTGGTCTTGTTAGTGTGAGATACATGAGTCTCCCTATTAGTCTTCCCTTCAGATTTGGAATAGTTTCTCCTTAATCTTTAGAGAGCTTTGTGTTTTAATCCAAAGATAAACCCGAAGGTTTTCCTCCAAGTACTCCTGTGTCTTTAAGTAAGTTTAGAGCATACTTCTTATGGCATCTGTGTATAGCTTTGATCTAGCCACCTCTATACCAAGAAAATATTTCAAATTTTCTAAGTCTTTAATCTTGAATTCCTTATCCATTTTGTTCTTAAGTTCACTGATGTTGTATGTATTATTTTCAGAAACTATAATATCATTTATATAGATGAGAAGGGCAGTGAAATTCTTACCATTGTTCTTCACGAAGAGGCTGTAATCAGCCTTGGACTGAGAGAAGCCTTGTTTCAAAATAAAGTCTGAGAACTTAGTATACCACTGCCTTGAAGCATGTTTTAACCCATATAAGCTCTATTTGAGTTTGCATACTCTACCATCCTTCTCCTTTGAGTACCCGAGAGGTAACTCCATGTAAACTTCTTCTTTAAGAAGAAAGCGTTGTTCACGTTAAATTGGTATAGATGCCAATTTTTCACGGTTGCAAGGGCAATAAGGATTCTAACAATAACAATCTTAGCCACTTCAGAGAAAGTTTCATGATAGTCTAGACCTTCTTTTTTAGTGTAGCCCTTCGCCATTAATATGGCTTTATATCTCTTAATCGATCCATCAGCCTTATACTTGGCTTGTAAACCTATTTACACCTTATAGCTTTCTTTTCAGCAGGCAAATCCATAATCTTCCATGTCTTATTTTCTTCTAATTCTTTTAACTCATAACTCATGGTATTTCTCCAACTAACATCTTGGCTGGTAGCCTCATATGAGTCTAGTTCCTTCTAAATTGAGGTGTTTTACAGGTACTTTTTGTCCCCTCCCCCACCAATCCTGTGGTACCATTGAGTCATGGAAATTGGAATGACAGCATTAGCTCTGAGATTTTTGTTTTTCATCTTCATGATTTGGGCTACAATTCTAAATCTGTTCATAAACATAATCTCTCAAATATTCTGGTCTTCTCTTGATTCTTGTGGATTTTCTTTTTGGTGTCTTACTAGCAATAGTGGAATTCTCTTATTTAAAGCTGACATTTGCCTCTTGTTCCATAAATTCCTGTTATCTATCAATTATTTCTGCACTTTCTTCCATAACAGTAGTTCTGATCTCCTTGTGCATTGGTGCAGGTATCCAACGTATAGTGTTAATATGGTTACCTAGGGCACCAAAAATGATTGCTATCCCCCTATTTCTCTCCTTTCCCTACATGAAAAAATTGTCTCATCAAAGATCACATTTCTGGAAACAAATATCCTACTTGTCTCCTCATCAAACAGCCTATATCCTTTCATTGGGAATGGGTATCCAATAAAAATACATTTTCTAGTCCTAACATCAAATTTTAATCTTTCACCTATCAAATTATATCAAAAGGCAAACAACTACAAACCTTTAAATAATCATACATGGGTTTCTTGCCATATAATAGTTCAAAGGATGTCTTATTTCTAATGGCAGATGAAAGAATTCTATTTATTAAGGATATTGCAGTCAAAACAAAATCACTCTAATACCGTCATCCAGGCCACTTTGGAACTTTAAGACTCTATTAGTGTTCAATATCTGTTGATGTTTCCGTTTTACTCTCTCATTCTGCTGGGGAGTTTCTACACAACTTTGCTAGTGTACTATTCCTCTGTCATCATAAAATCTTTCCATTTCGAACTCCTTTCCATTATCACTTCTGATTGCCTTCACTTTCCTATCAAATTGTCTTTCAACAAAGATACAAAAATGTTATAAATTAAGGCTTGTTTCAGCCTTAGATATCATCATATATATTCAAGTGCATCTGCTGTAATCATTCACATAGTTAAAAAATACTTGTAACCATCATGAGAAATCTTACTGTAAGGTCCCCAGACATCATAATATATCAAATCAAAACAATTTTTGGCTCTACTAGTACTATCACAAAAGGGTAACCTACGCATTTTTTGCCAACGGACATACACTGCACAGTTCACAACACTCTGATTTTTTTACATTTAATCAATAATTCTTTTGGAATGTGAGGGATGTCCAAGCCTATAGCGCCAAACATCAAAATATTTTTCTTCTTTGTTGGATCATGGGGTTGCTGATCCCACAAAATAATACTAACTTGATCCTTTCAAGTCTTCAAAATCCCTAAGCCGGTACAGTCCATTCTTAACTTCTCCCAGTCCAAGAGTCTTCCAAGTCATAAAGTCCTAAATTATACAATGTTCTTGTGAAAAAATCAAGAAACATTTTGCATCTTTTGCTAATTTTCTTACTGATATAAGGTTAAAATTGAATGAAGGGACACAAAGCACATTGTTGAGTATTAATCTATCATTTAACCTAACTGTTCCAACATGTGAAACTTCTACCATTTCTCTATTTGGCAACACTACCTCATATGTAATATTTGAAGTTATCTCAATGTATAAATGTGATGCCTGAATAATATGCTTGAAGCTCTCGTGTCTATTATCCAAGGTGCATGTGTGCCTTTGTTCTCATCAATTAAACTTGCACTAAAACATAAACGCTTACCAGTGAGCCCTACTAATTATGGATTCTTTGAAGACTCGCAGCTAGACCGAACTATGTTGACAGTAGGCTTACTATGCTACACAAGTGACATCAACTGATTATATTACTCTTTGGTCAGCAGATGATGCTCATTATTTCCAAGCTGCTCTATCGGTTCAGTGGTGGATACTTGGTTAACATGAGTTTGCTTAGCTTTAATTTGTGGCTTCTGCCCCTTAAGTTGACCTTTCAGCTTGTAACAGGTTTCAACTGTATGTTCAGGCTTAGTGCAGTGGGTACACATGGATATGTTTAGGTTGGCTTTATAGCATCTTTCTAGAGAGTGGCCAACCATCTTGCAGTGGGTACAGTAGTATTTCTCCCTACTGGAACTTGGTGGTTTAACTGGTTTATTGGTTTCTCTAATGCTAAATGCCATGGCCTTGTTGGCCGTGAATTCTATAGACACCTCCCTTCATTTCTCCTCCTGCTGAATGATAGAAAAGACTTCATTCATGCTAGGGAAGGCT